TCCCCCTATTAAAAAGTAAGCCTCTCTGGGTGTGACGGCTCATGCCTAACAATCCCCACACTTTGGGAGGCCAAGGTGGGAGGATTGCTTGAGTCTCAGAGATCAAGACCAGCCTGGGCAACCTAGCGAGACCTTGTCTCTTCTAAAAATAAGAATAAAATAAGCTAGGCATGGTTGTGCACACCTGTAGTCCCAGCTATTAGGAAGGCTGAGGTGGGAGTATCACTTGAGCCCAGGAGGTGGAGCTTGCAGTGAGCTGTGATCGTGCCACTGCAGTCCAGCCAGGGCAATGCAGTAAGACCCTATCTCAAAAAAAAAAAAAAAAATGTAAGCTCCACAAGGAAGCAGTCTTTATGTGTTTTAGTCACTGATGTATTCCATGCCTAGCACTGTAACACAGAGCAGGCAGTCAGTAAATACTTGTTAAGTTGAATTCCAATGTGGCAAACATGACACTTGGTCTCACCAAGCTGCACACTCCTATTATCCCCATCACCCTGGATAGGTTGGGAGTCATAAGCTGAACCACTGGAACTGGATTTCTCTGATGACATCTGTGAGGTATGGGGGCTGATCATGGCTCACAATGTTGCTTTAAGGAGTCAGTGTTCAGCCTAGCCACAAGCAAGATCTCAGCACTCCTGCAGCACCAGGGTCAACTCTGCACCAGATATGAGTGGTTTGATAGTGATTAAGTCATATAGTCTCTTGGACTTTGGTTTAATCACCTCAAAAATAAGGATGATGCTTTTCTCATTGGATCAGGCAAAATATCTGTTATAGATGATTCCCCAGCACCTGGCTGAGAATCTGGCACAGAGTAGGTAGGCAATAAGTTGGTTGATTATAAGGAAAAAATGAGATGATGTTTCTAAACTTATGTAACCATAAAGTACTTGGCATAGAGCCTGGAAAATGGTAATCATGCATTCATTCACACAACAAATATTTACTGAGCACCTACTACGTGCCTGTCAATAACTCAGTGACTTGTGTTGGTCTGGGAAAGGGAGAGACTTTCTGTATAAGTTGAGCTCAAAAGGCTGCCTGGGCTAGGCATGGTGGCTTACGCCCATAATCCCAGCACTTTGGGAGGCCGAGGTGGGAAGACTGCTTGAGCCCAGGAGTTTGAGACCAGCCTAGGCAATATAGTGAAACCCCGTTTCTACAAAAAAATATAAAAATGAGCTGGGAAAGGTGGGGCATGCCTGCTGAAGTGGGAGGATCGCTAGAGCTCAGGAGATAGTGGCTGAAGTGAGCTGTGATTGTATCACTGTACTCTAGCCTGGCTGACAGAGTGAGACCATGTATTGAAAAAGGAAGGCAGTCTGAAGAGGGTGACATCTCTCATAAGCCAGTCTGCCTCAATATCTGCACAGAAGACTGAGCAGGCCAGGCAGGTGGCCTTCCCCTCTCATTGGCCCTGAAAGAGCTCTTCTCTTCCAAGTCAGCATGCAGATCAAGACAATTGAGATCTGGGACTCACCCTCCCAGGACTGCCCTCCCTCACTGATATCTATGTGGGTTGCATACACAAAGCAAGCAAATTTCGTAAGTGCTATGGGCCTCTTCAGTGCAGGCTGGGACCTGGGGTACAGGGTTTCTGACATGTCTGCTCACTGCTCCACAAGTGCTTTGGCTTTAGGAGAGGAGGACCAGGGAGGCTTAGGTGTCAAGGTCTATTTGCTCTTTCTGCCACAGTTGCCACAGCTCAACAATGTGTTCTTAACATGTGCCCAGCTGTGTGCAAAGCAGTAATGATGAAATCAAAATTAAACTACCACTGATGGTTGGCGGTGATAATATCAATTAGTAGTAGTAGCAATAATAGTAGTATTAATAGTAACAGTAGTTGCAATAGCAGCTTACACATGTCGCACCTATTATGTGCCAGGCATATGCAAAGCACTCAGTTTACCTTTCACCTCACAATAACTCTTTGAACTGTTAGCCCAATTTACAGATGAGGAAACTGAGGTTCAAGAAGGTTTAGTATCTTGCCTGTAATCACCCAGCTAATAAATGCCAGAAACAGGATTCACCCTAAGCAGCTCAACTTTGGATGTCATCTTTTATGATCATTTGGCAAAGGGTCTCCTTAAGTATTATGGTGTATCCAACTGTGAGGCTGAGCAAGATACTCAACCTCTCTGGGCCTCTGGCTCCTTCTCTGTAAGAGTATCAAATGCTCAGTCTTATTGGGAGGTGATGAGTTGATGTATGTAAAGCCCTTACACCCATGCCTAGTACATGATGAGGGCTCAAAAGTATTAGTAATTGTTGTCGATGTGATCAAATAGCCTAAGCCTAAGGACTCCAGGCAGAACCTACTGTTTGTGAACAGCTGGAGAACATTCTTCAATGGTGTTTTTGGCATCTACTTTAGGTTTATGAAGATAAGGAGACCTCACAATCTCTAGGAATACCATTCTGCTTGACACTCTGAATTTCTCCCTGAACCTGGTGGGTGGGGCATGTGCGGAATCCGGTAGACTATCTAAAGCCTGAGCTCCATCACTTACAAGCTGTGAGTCATTGCACTGGTTATTCCACACCCTGAGCCTCAGTCATGCTCCCTAGAAAAGGGAGATAATGCTGCACACACTCACATGGTTGCTGTGAGGACTATGGGACAACATCTCTGAGGGACACTGGATATAAGACCTGGCATAAATTCTCAATAAAAGGGGATTATTTTAGGCATTATCATTGGCAATAAGGATACTGAAATTCAGGTGACTTTTCCTGCCCTTTGGTGGGTGGGGTGAGGAAGGATATCAGACCTAAATTACCAAGGAGCCCATCCTCTTCCTTCACTGCATCCTTCTCCACAACAGCCCTTTAGACACTGCCTTAGCACATACAGGAGCTGAACTCTGCATAGCTGGGGTTTCCCAAATGTACCCCATGACACCAAAAACCAAGCTTGTTGTAAAGAATAAAGGCTTTGTGCAGGTTCCTAGGGGCAAATTGAAGGACTATGCTCAATCCTTACTGGAATCGAGAAGTGAATTTTCATGATGCTGGGAAAGAAAAAAGTAGCCTTAAAAATTCCTTATTGGGAAAGTAGAGGCGAACATGAGGAGCAAACTGTCTAAGAGAAAGAAAGGAAAAATTATCCACTCTGCCTGGTAAGAAGGCTTCTGGCAGCTCTGCAGCTCCACTAAGCTAATTCAGCAAGAGCTGACCCTATCAGGTGGCCAAAGTCTGGAACCATTCATATACACAAAATAAATGAAATGACACTGCAAATCATGATATAATGCTATCATCTATGGTCTCAGACTTTATGGCCATAGAGTACTGAAAATCATCAAAAGAGGTGAAGGTCAAGGTTGGATGAGCTCTTATGCACCCCCACCCCCAATGATTGAGGCAAGTGTCTCCTTAGCAGCTGACTGACCTGAGACCTTTGGATCATGTATGCATCATAGCTGGACCAGTGGTACTTAGCTATAATATCTGGACTGTAGCCAGCACCACAAGAGCATGGTATTTTCAAGCTCAAGGGCTGTTTCTTAGGTCTATAAACCTGTGGGAGAAACCTACAATGGTTAGGTGCAGGAGAGGAGGGTGCAGGGAAGGAATTAGGGAAAAGCAAAGAAGGATGCTCATTTTGACTTTCTGTGGCCAAGCAGGTGGAAAACCCAGTGTAAAAGATGCACAGCTCCAAAAAAAGAGGTCAGGTGTAAGCAATCTCCGACCCCTGTGGCCAGCATTAGCAAGGCATACCACTCTGTGGAATGATCCCAGTGTCTTGCAGTGACTGGGACTCTCCCACTACGAGGACAAGGTGCTCAGGCACAGTAGCGGTCTCTCTCTCTCTCTCTCTCTCTCTCATTCTCTGTCCCTCTCACTGTCTCTGAACAAGGCAGCCCCATGAGAAATTAATCTGGTGCAGGGTCAATGTATGTGTTTTCCTTCCTGAGAGGGAAAAGGGTTAGTCACATTGTAAGCGGAGGGGACTTAATCCTTCAGGCTTCCTTTCCACTCACCTTGCCCATGGTGCTTAGCACAGATCACTCTAGCAGGCAGAGAGCCTGCCCCAGGGGCTGAGCCAATATGAAGGCACTCTACATGGTAACTGTGTAGCCATTAGAGAGCTTCAGAGCCACATATGGCCCTAGGTAAAATGTGGTAGCCAGCCTCCAAGGCCATAAACCATTGAGCTGACTGAGTTTCATAATGAACTTGAATCTTAGTGAATATCTTTAATCGTTGCTTACAAGAGTCACCAAGTAATATGAGGAAGATAAATATCTAAAGATTTCATGGATGATTTTCCAATATGCTCCAGATGTAATTATTTCCATTTAAGCCACTTCCAGAAAACCTTCCAGAGAGCAAGGAACTTTCTGCACAATTTAGAACTATGTCCCTGCTTCCATGTCCCTCAAAACAAATACAGTGGCCTAGAGGGGCAAAAACACAGGATAATGGGGCAAACAGGTGATTTTTTAAAAATAGTGTGAATAATGGCTGGGTAGTCTCTAAGCATAGTCTGGCAGTGCTAGAAGCTGGGAGATGCTCCTTGGCTGAAATGTATTGGAGGAAATAGTCAAAGTACTAAAGTTGAAAGAATAGAGAGAAAGAAACCTAAAAACCTGGATGAGGGTAGTTCTTTACAGGGACCAGAAAGTGAGCAAGGCAGAAGGTAACAGGTCCAACAGGAAAGAAGTTTGCCCAGAATTTAATTATAAGTTTCTAGAATTTAATCAGAAGTCAAACAAAGTCCACTGGAAGAAAGAAAGCTGAGAGCTACTTCTGAGGAGATGACGCTGACACAAAAGAAAGGGAAACAGCACTGGTTGCAAACCACACGAGCCCAGCCACATGCACATAAACACAGAAAAACAGTAAAATGCTGTTGGCAGCGACAACTGGGTCCATTGCGCTCCTACCTGGTTTTAGCGGCTTGAGCCCACAGGATGGACATGGGAAATGAAGAGTGGCTAAAATCCAGAGAAAGCCCACAAAGCCCCAAACCCAGCAAAACACACCTGTCTTGCAGAAGGCCCCACCTGCTGCTTTAATTGATGTACTAGTCGGTCTTTTTCTCGCTTGAGGGCCATGACTTCTTCCTGCGTCTTTTTCTTTTTGGAGGCAGACAATTCCAGCAAGGCAATGTTTGCATCTTTTTCACTGATGGCTGCAAGTAGCGCTTCCTGTCTGGTAAAATAAAGATTATTGAGATCATTTTTGTAAAATAAAAAAACCCCAAACAATTGGCATTTATAGTTGAAATGAACCACAGAGTATTGTCTCAATGGGAAGAAATTATGAATAATACTTAAAACAAACTAGCTCTTTCGCTTTCAGAATGGACAGAGTAGTTTGGGTCAGAATCCCTGAGACTGCACACTGCAGCCACTGAGAGAGGAATCTTTTAATGGCTTCATAGATGTAGCCACATATTAGAAATGGGAGGGGACAAATCTGAGCATTCATTGCCGACACATTTATCCACCCGTCCATCCAAACATACATACATTCATCTATCCATCCATCAATTTGCCAAGAGTCTTAGTCTGTTTTCTGTTGTTATAAAGTAATACATGAGACTGCATAATTTATAAAGAAAAGATGTTTATTTGGCTCATGATTCTGGAGATTGGGAAGTTTAAGGGCATGGTGGTAGCTTCCAGCAAGGGCTTTCGTACTAACATGGCAAGAAAAGTAGAAGGACAAGTGAGCAAGCCTGAAAGAGACCACAAGATCAAGCAAAGCTTGCTTTTATAACAACTGGCTCTCTCAAGAACAAATTCACTCCTGAGACAAGAGAATTAGTCCATTTGTGAGGGCTCCACCCTCATGATCCTCATGATCTAAGTACTTCTTAATGTCCCTGCCTTTTAATACTGTTATGTTGGTAATTAAGTTTCCATCATATGAACTTTTGGGGGATACATTCAAACTACAGCACCAAGTAAGGTTCTAGATACTCTGAGAAAACCCCCAAAACTGGGTAGCAATTTCACCTATTACTTTTTTCATGAAAGATTTTCTTTTGAAGGCAGACAGAGATATTTACTGGAAACCCTGTTCTATTTTCAATGCATTTAGTGATGCTCCCTTGCCATCCCACCAAAAACAATTACTTCCTCAGCCTTCCTTGTTTCAGTAATTACACTACCATCCACTAAGCAGCACAAATCCTAAACTTAGAAGTCATCCCTGAGTTCTTTCCTTCTTTCTCTATCCAGAGCCAATCCACTGACAACTTCAGGTTTTACTTGAAAGTATGCCCCTTATCTAAACTCATGCACTACTATAAAAACATCAACCAACCATCAGCATCACTCACTGGGGACCACTACAAAAGCTTACTCATTGATCTCTCTGGTAAAGAGTAAAGTCATCTTTCAAAACATTATAAGCCCAGATTCCACCATTCTATTGTGTAAAGATGCATTGCATCACTCTTTAGACTTGAAATCCAGACCCTTTATTGATGCTTGCAACACATTACACTAACCAGCGCTGACAACCTCTCTGAGGGCCTCTGTTCCTCTTCTCCTTCCTCAATCACTAGGCTCCAGCGCATTTCATTCCAGGTCTCTGCTAGTCCTTGGAAATGTTACCCTTGGCCCCTCACGTCACAGGCTTTGCCTTTCTATGCTTTTGCCTCACACAGCTCTTATCTTCCAGGTGTGTGACTGACTACTGACTTAGACTGCCTCATGTCCAAGTTGGTCACCTGTCACATTACCCTACTTCATTATTTTATAGCACTCTTTGTCACTTGATAGCATCTTATTTATTATTTGCTTTGTAGACTTAATGCTCCATGAAACTGGGACCTCTATCGATCTTGTGCACCACCAATTCTCAAGCTTCTAGAAGATCCCTCAGCACATAGTGGGTGCCCAAAAATGTTAGTTCAAGGAAGAGGAAAGTTCATTTTTTACTTTTTACAGACTTTTAAAGATATCACCAGACACCTCTTCCTCTCATTTTTAACTAATTAGAATGCTTTGTTTCCTGCTTAACCTATAGTCATCACTTATTCAGAGAAGTTTTAAAGTTGCCTCCTTCAATCTTTACGGTATAATTTTATGACCACATCTGTCACAAATTTTAACCTGGAATTTTCTGGGATAATTTTTGAGTAGGAAATAGCTCTCCTGGGTGTGTTACATTGAATCTTTCTTTCCTCTGGGAAAGTCTTGTCCCCACCATTTGTGTCTCTTCTGAAACATTCCAGCTACTTTGGAAGACCCCACAGCCCCAAGGAAGCCTCCACACTGGGAACTTCCCTCACACACAACGCCCAGGACTAAAACCTGGTCATGATCCTGTTTTGCCTTTCTTTAATCCCCATCACCAGACCAGGCCCTCTCCAGATGTTTGGACAAGGTGGTCATTATTTGGATCTCAGATTATTCCCCTTTTCACTCCAGGGATTTATATGGAGTTTTCTGGGCCCCACTAATGCCTGGCAGTAGGAGCTTCTGTTTGAAGCTCACGCAGATGTGTGAGCAGCAGAACATGTCAGGAAATATCTCCATTTTCCAGAAGAAAAGCAGGGTAGGCTGGACTACCACCAGCAGCATTAATATCCAGCTTCACAGAGCCTGTCTGCCTTCGGATAACAGCTGAGACAATAGATATGCTTGCGGCTCCCAGCCAGTGCATATTTATACAGAGGGCGAAGCTGAAGAGGCTATACAGACTTTAAATCAGGGAGAGTCTATTTGCTATCTGCTATTCCAAACTTTAGCTACAACGCACAAGGTGACTGCAATATTTTATCCCCTCTGTTACAAACTGAAATATCTAAGTGAAGCTTTTTTAATGAAAACAAACTAAAGGACCGATATTAGGAAAATTGGGGATTGGAGGTAAACTGATTACACCTCTACAACTGCATCTTTACAGACATATGCAGGTATTTAAAATGCTGATTTAAAAACATTAGTGACGTGAAAATATTTGTTTGTTGAGAAACAATTCTCTGTGAGTGAGTCTGTCATGTTTCTGTGCATTTTACAAGCACAGACACTATTTTCTTTTCTGATAATCTTTCAAGGCCGTTTGTATAGTGACTAGCTTTGAAAGACAGAGGTGGTTTTTCTTTTTGGATCAAAGGGAAGACACGCTTACTGCCCCATATAATAGTGTCTCCTTCCAGAGCAAGAGGCAGGCAGGCATGTTACTGCCCATTATAAAATATTCAGATTCTCTGATCTCAGGGTTGCCCTCCTATAATACAAATGACTACGTATGTGTTCATCCAGTCCATCTGACTGGCCTCCACGGGACTTGGAGCAAGGAGAATCGACACAAATATACCAATTCTTCACTCTGTGCCATGAGCAATAAAGTCCTTTATCTTTGGCCCAGAAGCCTCTTGTCATCTGCCTGCATCCATGGAACTGAGGCAGGCTAACCTGTTAGGATACCAGTAGGGAAGATCTCAGACCCTTCATAGTTCTTGACATACATACAAATGTATATCCAAAATGATCCCTAAAACATAAAGCTATACAGATAGGAAAAAACAAGAACAAGAAGGAAGTATATCAAAATGATAATAATCACCATTTCAAGGTGACGGGATGAATGGGGCATTTGTTTTTTTGTTGTTGTTGTTGTTGTTTTTTGTTTTTGTTTTTGTTTTTGTTTTTACTTTTTTCTGCTTATACTTTTAAGCACTATTCTCAGAAAATATCCTAAGAGTAAACATTTAAAACTTGTAAGTTAGGCTTTCGGTCATCAAGTAAACTGCTGGTACATGGTTCAAAATCTTAGCAGGTGTGTAATTTGCTCATTTTCCCACCCAGGTTATCCATGATATGTTCTGTCTGTCCTTCCATTCTTCATGCACAGACAGGTACACACACACATTTTCACACACACACAATGTCTGATACAATCTACATCATCTACCACTTGGAAAACTGTAGTAGTCTCCGAAACAGACTCCCTGTGTCTACTTTCAGCCTGCTTTAACCCATTTTCCTTTTCTAGGTCAAAATTTGAGATTATATAGCTTTAATAACTGTCAAAAGTCATAATCATCCAAACAATAATCATTTTAAAAAATATTTTACTTTAAGTTCTGGGGTACATGTGCAGAATGTGCAGGTTTGTTACATAGGCATATACATGCCATGGTGGTTTGCTGCACCCATTAACCCATCATCTACATTAGGTGTTTCCCTAATGCTCTCCCTCCCCTAGCCCACCAACCCCCGACAGGCCCCAGTGTGTGATGTCCCCTCCCTGTGTCCATGTGTTCTCATTGTTCAACTCCTACTTATGAGTGAGAACATGTGGTGTTTGGTTTTCTGTTCTTGTGTTAGTTTGCTGAGAATGATGGTTTCCAGCTTCATCCATGTCCCTGCAAAGGACATGAGCTCATCCTTTTTATGGCTGCATAATATTCCATGGTGTATATGTGCCACATTTTCTTAATCCAGTCTGTCATTGATGGTCATTTGGGTTGATTTCAAGTCTTTGCTATTGTGAACAGTGCCGCAATAAACATACATGTGCATGTGTCTTTATAGTAGAATGATTTATAATCCTTTGGGTATATACCCAGTAATGGGATTGCTGGGTCAAATGGTATTTCTGGTTCTAGATCCTTGAGGAATCACCACACTGTCTTCCCCAACAGTTGAACTAATTTACACTCCCACCAACAGCATAAAAGTGTTCCTATTTCTCCACATCCTCTCCAGCATCTGTTGTTTCCTGACTTTTTAATGATCTCCATTCTAACTGGCATGAGATGGTACCTCATTGTGGTTTTGATTTGCATTTCTCCGACAGCCAGTGATGATGAGCTTTTTTGCATAAGTTTGTTGGCTGTATAAATGTCTTCTTTTGAGAAGTGTCTGTTCATATCCTTCACCAATTTTTGATGGGATTGTTTTTTTCTTGCAAATTTGTTAAAGTTCTTTGTAGATTCTGGATGTTAGCCCTTTGTCAGATGAGTAGATTGCAAAATTTTTCTCCCATTCTGCAGGTGACCTGTTCACTCTGATGATAGTTTCTTTTGTTGTGCAGAAACTCTTTAGTTTAATTAGATCCCATTTGTCAATTTTGGCTTTTGTTGCCATTGCTTTTGGTGTTTTAGACATGAAGTCTTTGCCCATGCCTATGTCCTGAATGGTACTGCCTAGGTTTTCTTCTAGGGTTTTTTAATGGTTTTAGGCCTCATG